GCAACCGGCTGCTAGTGCTAACTGTTTATGGTTAACTGAGCGGAGAGTAGCTCGCGCTCACTGTTAGCGGAATGGGGTCACCATATTTGTGTTAATGACTAACTGACTGTTAGCAGCCAGAAAAGCACCCAACTTGCTGACTTGCAAGGAGGAACGCCGCCCTCAGTGTTCGTACATCAGTGTGCTAATCTTACTTACGCCGCCGCCCCCAATCGTGACGCAGCTATTGCATCTCTTGTCGTCGCTTACTTATGACGTGGTCACCCATCTGCCCCTTCCCGGTTGTTAGCCTTCAACCAAAGGCCTCAAGTGGCCCGCTGACGCCCTCTGCAGGAGCAAGCAAACCTCTGCAGTTGCATTCCCAGCGTCCCTCCGGTCTCCCCACGCCGCTCAAACGCCGGGCGTCGGCCATTCCCGCGCCGACGCCCGGCAGCCAGAGCCGAAACTCCAGACCCCCCAGAACGCAGGCCGCCTCGGACTCGGACTGCCCCCCCAGGACCTGCCCCAGGTGACGATTTGACAGCCAAAAGGAAAGTCGCGCCGGCAACTGATAGCGGATAGCCGCGCTGACGGTTGTTTTCTCTCCGCGTAGTCCCGCCCCCCTCGATTCTAATAGGGCAGTGCCTGTCGACGTGCAGCCCTTCTGTCTGGAGGAGGAGCCTCCCGCCGAGCCCAGCCAATCAGAGAGCCCGGAGGGCAAAGAGCCATCCCGTCGCGGCCAATCGGAGCCCAGCGAAGACCTCGTCCGGCCGGAGAGCGCCAAACGGGAGGTGGGCCCCGGGCCGGCCGGAACCACCTCGGACCACCTGACGTCGTCGACCGCTTGACTGTGCCTCCTTCCTTTAGGTTCTTTTGCTGGACCTTCCTGCTCCGATGCCCCCGACCCACGAGAAACTGCTCATCGACCTGAGAAACACTCCGGACTGGATCCGAAACGGCACCAAGAACTGTACCGCCATGCAGGTACAAACTACTTCCCACTAACGGAAGTGAATCTCGCCGTATCTTCGCCGTTCACTTGTCTCTTCTTCCCTCCTTTTTTTTTTTTTTTTAGTTGATGCAAGTGTGTTAGTAGAGCAAGTTTGCCAGCCAATGCATTTCGAAGAGCCTCATCTGAAGGTGGTTTGATTGTGCGGAACCTTTGCATACAGATTTTTTTTTTTTTTTTTTTGATGTAACGTGGTTTCATGCCTGCGTACATGCTAGATCCATGACGTTGGTGCTTTGCACATCATTGTTTGTCCGTTACACAACACGGCAAATAAATTCAAACAAAGGTTTGAAGCCGCGCGGAGACACCAAACGACCGTTGAGGTCCTGTTTGTAGCCACACAACTGTTACTCACATGTCAGTTCGATTGTCTTTTTGTAAAGCATTTCCTGTTGATGGCCAGGAAGTGACAAATGGTTCGCTTGAAGAAAAAAAAATAAATTTGAAGCACATTGTTTGTTGTTGTGTTTCAGCAGCTGATTGACTTAAGTTCGCCGCTCATCAAGTGGAGTCCGGAAGACAAGAAGGAGAACAGCGCCCCCCTCATCAACCTGTCCTTCTGAAACGTGCACACACTGAGTGATGTGTGTGTGTGTGTGTGTGTGTGTGTGGAGGG